GACTCTCTGAAAGGGATGCATTTTTGACAAAAGAACTTTGTAATGTGGCATCAGGTGTTTCAGAAACTTAAGCATACCATACCTTGTTTATGACTCCTGCTACAATGCTTTTTTTACTAGAGCTGAAGTCTTTGAACAGGGACTTAAAAGCAAGATAATGGAGCTCAAGCAAGATAATGGAGCTCAAGCAAGACAATGGAGCTCAAGCTAGACAATGGAGCTTAATGGAGCTCAAGCAAGACAATGGAGCTCAAGCTAGACAATGGAGCTCAAGCAAGACAATGGAGCTTGAGCAAGATAATGGAGCTCTAAGATAGTGGAGATCAAGCAAGACAATGGAGCTCAAGCAAGATAATGGAGCTTGAGCAAGATAATGGAGCTCATAAGAAAATGGAGCTCAAGCAAGTCAATGGAGCTGAAGCAAGTCAATGGAGCTGAAGCAAGTCAATGGAGCTCAAGTAAGACAATGGAGCTCAAGCAAGACAATGGAGCTCAAGAAAATGCAGTTTATGCAAGATAATGGAGCTCAAGAAAGACAATTGAGCTCAAGCAAGATAATGAAGCTCAAGCAAGATAATGGAGTCAAGCAAGATAATAGCTCAAGCAAAATAATGGAGCTCATGATTAAAGAGAACCTAGAAATGTTGTCATACAGTCTTTGTGCCCAAAATGATTGGTGTGTATGTGTCTTACGCTTGATTGTACTTTTATGTGCATTACGAAGATATATCATTGCAGAATTTTGACAACCATTTGGCAAAGAACAATAGTTCAAAAATGTTTGCCAGTTTTGGGAGGTTTATTTGAGGGTTGAATACATGGAAATAGTTTTCAGAAGAACTAGAGATGTACGAAAAACCCCATAATTCTTTCCAAAATACCCCAAACTAGGAATTTCTTTTCTAATTTCTATATATGACTTTTCTATATGGCAGTGTCTTAAGAAAAGACGAGTTATCATTTTAACTTTCAAATGTGGATAATTCTGAACACACATGGATTTGAAGACTTAAAATTCCGACGGTGAGATGTGAACACTATTACTGATTAGCTTAGCTTCAAAATTTCCGTTTCTGAGACTAAGGTACAATTGGTCAAACGGATTGCAAACCTCTCCCCTTTTAGTATCATATCCTTATGTAATGTAGACCTACATGAAATGAAAGTGGATTGAATGTAAAATGCATAGGTACATAATATGTATATAAAACCTAAGACGCGCTCGCGTTCACCAATAATCTTATAGAATATGGCTCAAAAGAGTTTGCTAATATTGCGATGAAAAGTATAAATTATGTCTATGAATCATTCAAAACATTTACAAAAGAAAGGAGCTATAAATAACTTGACTTTTCTTGACGTCTGCTGAAAATAACCTTCAGGTGAATATCACCTTGTCTTCTACAAAAGATATATAATGTTGAATATTTTACTGGTTTTTAACTGTCTTGAATACATACATACATTTTTTGGTCTCAAATGAGCAATTTTGAGGTGAAGAAGTGCAGAATAGAAACAAGCGATTAAATAAAATTTGATAAATATCATAATTTTTAACTGTTGTCTTCAAGGACTTTTCATGTCTGAAAATAACTGTGTGAACAACATTCTTCAAAACGATTAAAATCAAATTAGCGATTATGAATCCAATTGCAGAGTGATATCAAGTGCACAACCCTTCAACTGGGCTTGAAATTGACTTCATTAATTCAGAAAAAAACAAATCCCGCAATTACTTTTCATATCATATACATGTACGATTGATTTTAATAATTAGGAAATATAGATTCTTGAATACTGAATACCTAATAATAAGCTAGGATTATATTGTTGATTGTTTGAAGGCATCTCAAGGTCAGATTCTACCAATCTATATATAAAGATCAGTTTTGTATTGGCAATTCTACATTAATTGACACACAAACTATTGGAAGATATCCAACTTTAATGTTTTTAGCTGATAGAATGATGCAATACAAGCAAATAGTTTCGTATTTTTTCAAACTTTGTGATATTTACATTATTTACATATTTCAAATTGACCAAATTCATAATTATGGTACTAATTTACGAGGTTTTCTCAATCACTTGTGGTTGTTACGTAAATTCTGGCAGGGTTCCAACCTATGATCAATGATCATAATATTTTGACGTCTGTTTCAACCCTATATTGCAGCCTATTGATTTGTTAGGTTGTGAGAAGTAAACATGTGTTACTCTTGGCTATTTTAAGTTATTGGCGTTTAATATCTTTCATAGTCTTGTTAGCTGGTATTTTATTTGTTCTCTTGAAAGCACAGGTCATGGCATAAGAAATTTGAATTTTTTGTCCTTGAAGGAAACCAGTCAGTCATGTCTTTCTGCCGTTTTTATCCAACAAAATTGATTTTTTGACAAATTTGGATCTAGAGTGCATCTTAGCATGTTAGATATTGGAAAAGTGATGACATTTGCTTGTTAACTTGAAGGTCCAGGGTTCAATCCCGGCATAGGTCGAGATAATATCTTGGATTTTTCAACCCAGTTTCCACCTGTCAGTGATGCAGGTAAGAGAGGATGACATGAAAATTCTTGCTTCTCAATCCACACATCAAATGAGTGTGAAATGGATTATTGGAAAAAGAAAATAACGTTTACATAATATAATGAAATTGATCTAAAAATCGAATAAGAGTGAGGGAATTTGTTTTGGAAGATTGAGCACAGATCAATTGAGGCAACAAATGAAATGGTGATCATTGATTGGTCAATAAGATATCAGATGACAACCTGATGACATAGTTAAAGTCTATGATAGCTGTAATGAGGTGGTCTTGTGATGATATTAATACAAATTAACAACAGATAAAACTATCAACACTTCAAATTATTTCAACAACATGATAAATGATATGAATAACAAATGAATGAATTCAAAATAACAAAAATTATTTAAGTGCGTCAGGTCAAGTTCAATAGGTCAAGTTCACCAATATCAAGTCACTGCCAGTTCAAATCGCGTCAGAAAATTGGTCGCCCTATCCAGTTCTCACCAACAGAATTGGTTGCTATGTTGAATTATCAAAACAATTGGTTGACATGTCCAGTCTTCATCAAAATAAATGGTTGACATGTCCAGTCTTCATCAAAATAATTGGCTTCCTTGACCAATCCTGACCAAAATAGTTAGTCGCCATGTCCAGTTTGTATCAAACAGTTGGTCAAAATGTCCAGCCCTCCTTGGTCACCATGTCTAGTTCTCACCAGAGCAGTTAGTTACCAGCTTTAATTCTCAACAATTCAAATTTGCATGATGTCCAGTTAGAACCAAACTATTTCAATCTTTAGGAATAAAATGAGTTTCAGGTAAAGCCATCATAACATGATAGAAAGACGCCAAAAGTTATTCTTTAGTCTATATCTGATTTGATATCTTTATTACCTTAAAGGTCAAGGTCATGATTTCATAATAATATGTCACTGTAGTATTGTGGGTTATGAGTAGGTCAATGGTAGCTAGTACCCATGTGTAACTTGTTATATAGTATATCCACCAATAGAAATACCATACACCTATACTAGTATATAAACTTACTACTTAATTAATGACTAACCTGAAGTTTAAAAGGACAGATATTACATTTTCTTGTGTTGATTGGGTATTGAATATATGTAAATAGTCTTTAGAAGTACTGAAAATGTACAGAAATCTCATTTGAAGGCTCAAATTTTGACTTTGAATATTGAACACTATTACAGATTAGATTAGCTTGAATAATATTTTATATATAGTTGAATATATTCATAACTGTCTCAAATTGTAGAACATGTGTGGAATATGGGGTCCTCTATCCAAAATATTCAATCAAAACTTGACACAAAGGAACCATAAAATAACTCATTCCAACCTCGGCTCCTGAAAATTTGATTATTTTTAAGCTATAAGATGTTAGCTAAATTTTCAGTTCACAATAAATTGTTTAATTTCCTGGTTGCAATCGTAAATCCACAACATATCGTGGGTGAAAAGGTCAGCTAGTAACAAAAATCTTTTTTGCCACGTTTCAAGGTTTTTTGCTGCCCTCTAATTAATTGGTCGTCTAACTAATGTGATATATCAATTGAAATAGCCTGTGACTCACTGATTATAATTTACAATAATTGTTGATCATTGCTTTTACAATTGGTGATTCATTGCATTTTACAATTGGTGATTCATTGCATTTTACAATTGGTGATTCATTGCATTTTACAATTGATGAATTGATGATCATTGCATTTTACAATTGATGATCATTGTATTTTACAATTGGTGATCATTGCATTTTACAATTGATGATCATTGCATTTTACAATTGGTGATCATTGTATTTTACAATTGGTGATCATTGTATTTTACAATTGGTGATCATTGCATTTTACAATTGATGATCATTGCATTTTACAATTGGTGATCATTGTATTTTACAATTGGTGATCATTGTATTTTACAATTGGTGATCATTGCATTTCACAATTGGTGATCCTTGTATTTTACAATTGATGATCATTGCATTTCACAATTGATGATCATTGCATTTCACAATTGGTGATCATTGTATTTTACAATTGATGATCATTGCAATTTACAATTGATGATCATTGCATTTCACAATTGGTGATCATTGTATTTTACAATTGGTGATCATTGCATTTTACAATTGGTGATCATTGCATTTTACAATTGGTGATCATTGTATTTTATAATTGGTGATCATTGCATTTTACAATTGGTGATCATTGTATTTTACAATTGGTGATCATTAAAAGTAATATGATAATCCTAGTATTTTATTATAGGTGATCTTATTGTATTGTAGTATTGGTGATCTTTGGATTATTGTATTTTATTACTGGTGATCTTCTAGTATTTTTTACAATTGGAGTTCACTCTGGGTGATCATTGTATTTTACAATTGTATTCACTGTATCTTACATTTCGTGATACAAAATTTACATTTTGTGATCATTGTATTTTGCAGGTGATTATTAATACAGAATGGGGAGCATTTGGTGATAATGGTTGTTTAGACTTCATACGTACAGAATATGATTTAGAATTAGATACATACAGTATTAATCCTGGTAAACAAATGTAAGTAACGTTTTTCTCATTTGTATTTTTTTTTATTGAATAACAGAAAGATAACAAACATATGTATTATTAGAAGCTTAAAATAAGCTCTAATGGAATTGTGAAAAATAAAAAATTAAATGCTAGATTTTGCATCTTAATTATAATATTTCTATCTAAAAAAAACCAACAGCTTTTTAGTTCGATAGAATAAAAAAAAGAATAACTTTCCGTAACTTTTGATCTTTAGACTGCGGAGAGAGAGCTATAGAATTGGCCTTGCCCTGTTATGCCTTGATTAGAAATTCGTATTTTGATGCAAATTTTATATTTATTCTCACAAAAAAAAATTGGCGCAAAAATTGATAACAGAAGTGTATTATATTTTAGATTAGAAAAGATGATATCTGGTATGTATATGGGTGAGATAGTAAGATTAGTATTAGAAAGATTGACATATGAAGGATTGTTGTTACAAGGAGCAGATCGGGAATGTGCTTTATATGAACGAGGAAGATTTTACACTAAATATGTTTCTGAAATAGAAAGGTGAGTATTTATCTAGTCCTTTATATGGGACATAAAACTGAGGCCTGTGTGCTACAGACTGTGCTCGGTTAAGATCTGTTGCCATTGGGAAATCGAAACAGAGTAGGCCAATGCTGCTGCCATTGCACACTGCATGGCATTGCCCATCTTTATTAGCCCAATTAGGTGCAGAAGAGTAGAGCATAAAACTCCATTAATTTCATTTTTTGAATTGATCTGATTTGAACTTTGATTGTTAACTAACCTCATGCATTGATTTTACCTTTTCAGTGATCATGATGAATTTTTTGCCAATACCAAACAAGTGTTAGAAGAATTAGGTGTAGAAAATTTCACCTCAGAAGACTGTAAGATTGTTAAATATGTTTGCACTCTTGTTTCCGCACGTGCTGCATTTCTGGCCGCGGCAGGTGAGTTCTATCTTAGAGTTTATTTATGCTATTATTACATGTTGTTTTATATTTAGTTCATGATGAATGATTGGATACAGTAGCAGACGGACAACATGTACAATTTCTGGCAGCCAACAGCATTAGGTTAATTGAGTTGCTAACTTGTTTTGTTGTTCTTTCTCTAATAACATGTATCTTCTGCATTCTTAGTTTGCAACCCACTTGTTTTGAAGGCATGAAGACTTCAAGCTGTTCATGATTTTCAAATTGTTTTTTTTTTCAAATCAGAAATGCATTCATGTTTTATGTCTTACTTTTCTCTACCTTGTTTGTCTTATACAGATAGTCAAGAACGATGAGACATTTTGCCAAGCCTTTTAGGGTTTAAATTCAATACTTTTTAATCAAATTTTTCCTGATCATTCCAAATTTTGACGTCTTGTTTATAGGTCTGGCTACACTCATCACTAAAATTGGTCGTAAAGAAATGACAATAGCTGTTGATGGTTCACTCTATAGATTTCATCCACGTTTTCATAATCTCATGTGCCTTAAAATACAGGAACTCATCAAACCTGGCCAGAAGGTATGTAGGAGCCATGTTTATTTGTAAGGAATTCGTGAACAAAACTGCAAACTGTTTGAGAATAGGCCTTCAGTTGACCTATGGAATTTCAGAAATGATTAATACATATCCAATGCTTTCTGATCTTAATTTTGAAGTCTTATTTGTTTTAATTTGAATGATGAACAGCTCAAAATGGCAGAACAAATCTGTGACTTTTAGGCATCATTGCCATTTCTGATCATTTTACTACTTGAATTTTAATAACAATGAAATTTTCTTTTTCAGTTTAAGCTGGCTTTATCCCATGATGGAAGCGGTAAGGGGGCAGCACTAGTGGCTGCCGTGGCAACGAGATTAAGAAATAATAAAGTATTAAGGGAGGTAAAAGTACCAGCTTGAACTCCTATGAGATTTATGTGATTAATTACATGACGTGATATTCAAATCAATGCACACTGCATTTAATGTGGCTTTTCATAATTCTCACTCATATTACTCTTTATTCGCATTGCAATATTAGAATTTAGCAAGTTATGATTTAGATATGGTCAGTACCATAACATCATTATTCAAAATGGTTTTGGCATGTATTGCTCTGAAATCATCTGGAATAACAAAAATGTAGTTGATTATTCAATCATAGCCTATGTTACGTATTTATGATGATTATTTTGGCTGGAAGAGTTTTATATCTTAAGGCAGTGACTCAATTAGCAACTTATAACACCAAAATTTCATGGACAATTCATTTTGTGGAGCTAAATAAGATATATTTTGGCTGGAATGGTTGCTGATGAGTGACTTGGTTAAATACTCCAATAAGTATATATTCTGCTCTCTGTTTCTGCCATTTGCAAGGTCAACCTGAGCTCCCCCTGGCATGATATGCATAAAAAGTGCTATCTCTTACCTTGGCTGTGTATGTGAGGTAAATTATTAGTTTTAATGATGATATTCTGTGATTATTCTACCGGTTTATATAATGATTATAATATTAATTATATTTTAATATATACTTTTGAATTATAGTTTTACTCTAGTTAATAATGGATTGACATGGTATGATCTCTATAGATTTTCATAATTTCAAAGCAAGTCTGATGATCTAACAAATCTTTTTTTTAAATTTTGCTTGTGATGGACACATACATGCGTAATCTACCGACATCATCATGGACATTTTTTGCATATATTCTTTAAGAATTTTTTACGCATTATTTATTTAAAATCCAAATTTGTGGTTTAGTTTGAAACTTTCCATGTTCAAAATGGGGTCTGGGACATCACAGATGAACTAGAACACTGTGCTCCACTTCTAAGGGTGACGTCAATTGAACCCCTAGACTATCTATCTCTCTTCAGTGAACATGTCGATCGAGCTCAGGCAATATGGTGGCAATTTTGAACCATATACATGTATTGGCGTTGCTTTCTGTCATGTTAACTTGTGTTCAACTCCCCAAATAGCAAGGGTCAGACCCAAGTTCTAACTGGGTCTAATAACGTCACACAAGTAAATATTAGAGTTTGGTTGTGTCTTGAAAACTTCGAGTCAACCCTGAGTTCCAATCGTAGTCATCCCATGATATTTTCTGAAATTCACAAAAGTGTGTCAAAACTGATTTGTAGAAACACACTACCTCAAATAGTAGTAGACTCTACTAGGGTTTGGTATCCGGGATGTATATAAATACTGTTAAACAACTCTAGATTAGTTTGTTATGAAATGTGCCATGAGGAATCATTAATTATACTGCTGTTATTTTGTTATTGTTTATTTTTTTGTTATTCTGCACTTATGAATTGATTTTTTATGGGTTACCTTCAAACTCTGAATATATTCTCTACAACAGGCTATCTTTACTTGCAAGAAATAGCTACAGAAAGCCAAAGAACTGTTTCTTTTGAAAAATTTTCCCATAAAATTCAGCACTTTGAAGATTTCTTAGAAATTGTGTTGGGATGTACTAAGTCTAAAAAGGTTGCTTGTGATTCCATTCAAATATTGTGTGGTCAAAGGAATGGCAGAATTATCTTTTAAATTGCACTTGCAGGAATTATGACAAGTGATGATGTCATGTGGTCTTGGTTCCTTGAGAGAAAAGACGACTTTGTTTCACAGCATCCTGACTAGTTTTTGGGGTACTTTTGTCCATTAATTTTCCTCTTGTGAGATTATTTCTATTGAGTATTTTTTAAGGCAGCTATTAAAATGGTTTTTTTTAGATTTTCTGTAGAAAAAGTAGAGTGAAAAAATGAATTAAAATGAAATAGGAATTGTATTCTTTAGATTTGGAGAGATTTTAATTTTTTATGTGTCTTTTTATTGATTTGCACCATTCTAATATTTTAATCTGATATCTTTGGTTCCTACAATTCCATTAACACTCACTGTTTGATGATGTCAATAATCAAAAATATTCGTTTGAAAATTGGAATGGTACAAATTGATTCTAACAGTGTCCCCGATATACATAAAATTTTTTTAGAAAACCTCTTTACAATCCCTTTAATGTTAAATTTTTGCATAATATTTTGTACCCTGGTAGGTCTTGAATTAAAGCATCATTACTTTTTGATTATTATTGTGCTTTGGAAGTGGTTTTTAAAACATAATAAAATAATAGGCTACAGTGCTTGTTTCATTTAAACACCATATTCATATTTGCAGCTTTATGACACATATTTTCTGTTGGGTTGTTATGAATCTGTTATTGTAAATAGACATGTATATATTGTAAATAGATATCTTGTTATTACAACTAAACTTGTTATTTTGTGAAGCTAATATTACACCAGAAATGTAAAATATGAATATTTTCTGTATTAATTCTGTTTTTTGATTTTGCTTCATGTGGTTCTTAGTCTTTGGTTTGTATTCTGCACTTATTAATCTAAACCTCACAAAAGTATGATTGTCAGGCATTATTGTTGAATGTTTATTTTTGTGAGAGTTATTGCACTTGTTTTAGAGTGACGGCAAGTTCAAATTATGAACATGTTGGATGTTGACTTTTGATTAAAAATGAAAAATAAATTCACGAATTATACTTCTGTAGAAAATTACTTTTGCCTGCGAATATTTTGTTATGCATTGATGTGAATTTCAGAAATTTGCTCATTGCAAAATTCAAATACTGAAAATTTGGACTGGCCTAAGAGAAAGTTTAAATCAATTATTGAATATTTAAAATGGCTTAAACTGAAAACAAGATTAGTCTATGACAAGTATTAAGAGAAAGTTTAAATCAATTATTGAATATTTAAACTGGCTTAAACTGAAAACAAGATTAGTCTAAGTCAAGTATTAAAACAAAGTTTAATTTGATTATTGAATATTTAAACTGGCTTAAACTGAAAACATGATTAGTCTAAGTCAAGTATTAAAACAAAGTTTAATTTGATTATTGAATATTTAAACTGGCTTAAACTGAAAACAAGATTAGTCTAAGTCAAGTATTAAAACAAAGTTTAATTTGATTATTGAATATTTAAACTGGCTTAAACTGAAAACATGATTAGTCTAAGTCAAGTATTAAAACAAAGTTTAATTTGATTATTGAATATTTAAACTGGCTTAAACTGAAAACATGATTAGTCTAAGTCAAATATTAAGAGAAAATTTTAATTAATTATTGAATATTTAAACTGGCTTAAACTGAAAACAAGATTAGTCTAAGTCAAGTATTAAGGAAAGTTTAAATAAATTTATTTTTCATTTGGTCTTTAAAAATTCCTTGTGTTCTAATACTGTTATAAAATGTTGCTTGTTTGTAATATAGGATTAAAATTATTCATAATAATTAACTGCCAAAGATGGTTATTTTTTATTGTAAATGTTTGTAAATTTTGATTTGAGGCAGTTGAACTTCTGTAAGTTCTGACTAGGGTAGGAGATAAGCATGGTTAACATAGTGCTTTTTGTCGTAACCACTAGCAACAAGTTTATGTGAATATACTTTTTATCATATTCACTATGTCGAGCTATTACGACTTTTGTTCTTATACCTTGACACAATTAGTCACATTTCTTGTATCACCGAAGTTTTTAAATGCAGTGATTTCATTGGATTGCACTCTTGAAATTACTGCCTATCAGACGCCTCGAAAATTTTTTGATAAGCCATAATGTTTCCAGTCTTTCTGTCGAGAGCTCTGATTGGTTGTATTCGCTAGCGTACAATCCAATCATATGGCTACATTCTGTGATAAAGAAAAGTGGCTATTGGAATCAAGGTATAAGACAGAGATCGTAAGGATATAATATGACTCATTATTCTTTCACACTGTGTTCAAAGGGTTAATAAATGTACCGAGCAATCACCGGTCCTGTAAAGGAAAGAAGTTAACCCTTTTAACAATGAATGTGAATAAACACAAACGTCATATTCTACTGATGCATGGGGTATCACATGGTAATGGTGGCATCAATGACACTGTTATTGTATAATATTAGAGTATACCAGGAATTAATGTCCTATATTCTCAAGAATATATTAATAACTGTATTATATAACTAATAACAGAGGCTGTTTTATTGTGTTATTACTTAATAAAGGTTTGAAACAAATTGTTGTTGTAAATGTTTAAGACTCAACAACAGGGAACCTGAGACAGGTTAGTTTTACCCTACTGGTAGAGAACACTTTACGAACCAGCAGCTACGGGGGTAGGACTCGTTTATACTACAGACTGAGGAGGGTGGCACTTAGTGATTAGTTGATTTCAATGTACAGATGCTCAGCTGTTAACACCACTAGCGGAGTGACACACTGAAGAAATTTGGCTGCATTTTTTATACTCGCAGTTAGCAGTTGTTGACAGTTCATTTAGCATGGCGAAAAAGTCATAGGAAAGTCACACGAAATCCTCCATAGTGAATGATTGATTCCGGGACACCCAGCTCTGCTTATATGCTTCTATTTGCCACCCTGCTCTACCCTGCTTGCTCATATGCTTCTCTGTGCTACCTTGCTCTGCTTATATGCTTCTCTGTGCCACCTTGCTCTGCTTATATGCTTCTCTGTGCCAGCCTGCTCTGCTTATATGCTTCTTAATGCCACCCTGCTCTATCCTGCTTGCTTATATGCTTCTCTGTGCCACCTTGCTTTGCTGAAATGCTTCTCTGTGTCACCCTGCTCTACTTATATCATTCTCTGTGCCACCCTGCTTGTTTATATGCTTCTCTGTGCCACCCGACTCTGCTTATAATATTCTCTGTGCCGTCCTGCTCTACTTATATGGTTCTCTATGCCACACTGCTCTGCTTTTATGCTTCTCTGTGCCACCCTGCTCTGCCTGTAATGTGAATGAACCCTTATGCTACTGTTGTGATAAAATTTCTCTTAATGTTTACTGCATTAGCCATATAAAGGGAGGCAACTATGATAGGTGATTCCAATGAAAGGCCATATTGAAACAAATTCTATTGATTAAATATATAAAATAGAGCTTTTATTATCACAGAGTTTGAGACAGAGTTAGAATTTATATAATATATATAAGTTATATTTATAACACAACCTCATATTTACATGATAATATAACATATAAAACAAACGCTCACTTTGAAGCCTAAACCCTCAACAGCACCTATTATAATATATAATTCAAAGCAATATGTTAATCAACCATGGAAATGTGGTGTATTGAAAACGGAATGGCATCTATCGTAAAGATTCAAGATTTTTTCAAGGAAAAGAAAAGCAGGCTTAAGATGCTTCATCTTCACAATGTCAAGTTATAGGCCTAATAGACAGAGTTCAAACTAGCTTGATATTATGAAGATGGGAATGCTTGCTCAGCTACAACCAAAATTAGTTCATTCTTCACAAATCAATTAATCAATTACATTCATAAACCACCATAAACAAAATCGACACAGTCATAAATTCAAGCATTTCAAAAAATGAAACAAAATTTCGAAAAAATAATAAACAATAATGGATTTCTTTTAATCAAAAATTCAAAATAATACAAAATAATATAAACTTAACATCAATAAATAACTAAATGATATAAGCCTACTTGAGCAATATGGCTATTCACATTTGAAAACAAATCACAGACCAGTCCACTTTATTTTCAGGTAGTTCATGTGATATAGAACTTGATATAAGTCTCACTTGTTTAGTTTGAATTACTATTGTACCTTAAAACAAAATGGATTGCTCGTGTTTATATTTTGCATGTTCTTGTGTATGCACATCAATATATCTTTGTTTTACTGTCAAACTAAAGATCTAACAAAGGATTTCTTATGAATATGTACAATATTTGGTCTCAATCACTCAATGATGTATGGATTTTCATTCGCATCATTCCTATTTTCCATCAGATGTCAGTGATTCCTGTAAGTTTTAGAAATGCTTAACTCAGCTTCAATGTTACATCACAAAAGCAACCTTTGTGATAGCTACAACATTGCTTAGTTTTAGTGGAATTTGAAGAACCACACATGTCTGATTGAAAATTGGAATGGTTCAAATCATTGCTATCAGTGGCCCTGATACACATAAAAAGTTTAGAGAAAGTCTCAGGCAAGGAGATCATTGTAAAAAGTGAAGAACGCAGAATAAACAAAGTCATTGATGAGTAACTGGAACCATTTTGAAAAGTAATCAAATCAATTCTGATAACAATAATAAAACATGTCATTTAATATTCCACCGACATCAAAATTCTTTACCCTTTTTTCTTAATAATAAAGTCTTGAGTTGCTAATAGCCCCATCACACTGGATTGCTGCCATTTGTGATCCTACAGCGACTAAAAATTTATTAGGTCACTAGCAAACATGAAGAAATCAGGAGAAAGAATTACAACAGTCGCTTTCAAGGCAAGGAGCAGTTCATTTTTTTTGCTTCTTTGGAGACGTTTTGACAATTGTCTAAAGACATTCTTGATTACATAGCAATCAATTGGCAACAATGGCCGCCATCATATGGTATCTGACGCTTGTACTACACTTAAACCACGCTTATGGAGACCTTAACATGCTCTGATCTTATTTCCGTTGCCATAACAACTCAGAAATGACCTGATTCAGGTGTGACAGGGCTATAATAGCTGATATAGTGGCATTTAACAATATTACAAAATAGTACTAATAGTTACTTGGACACTCTTCTGGGTGTAAATACCCAAATATATTACACTCATATAACGAGGCTAAAACAGTATAAAATACATAAACTATTAATAATACTACACCATATTTTTTATCCAATTTCCATCCATTTAAATGTGTTGCTCCCAGTAAAAAGACCACAGTTGATAATAATGTTATACTAGAATATGTTAAACCTGAAATCAAACAACAGATTTCTTAAAAGTATTACCTCTTAAAGGGATTGTGAAGAGTTTTTCTAAATATTTTATGTGTATCAGGGACACTGATAGCATCAATTTGCACCATTCGAATTTTAAATCGGGTGTCTGTGGTTCCCGCAATTCCATTAAAACTTAGTTATACAAGAAAAGATGACTGATACTGACCTTTACTATATACTTTCACAACTCCCCCAGGTTTCATAGCGGCAGTTTGTAATAACCATGGTACACCCAGGCATATCAAAATATCAAATACATTACTCCCTACAGCATTAGATACAGCCATATCACCCAGACCTAAACACAATATAATACATTACTTTCTACAGCATTAGATACAGCCATATCACCTAGACCTAAAAACAATATAATACATTACTTCCTACAGCATTAGATACAGCATTAGATACAGCCATATCACCTAGACCTAAACACAATATAATACATTACTTCCTACAGCATTAGATACAGCCATATCACCTAGACCTAAAAACAATATAATACATTACTTCCTACAGCATTAGATACAGTCATATCACCTAGACCTAAACACAATATAATACATTACTTCCTACAGCATTAGATACAGCCATATCACCTAGACCTATACACAATATAATACATTACTTCCTACAGCATTAGATACAGCCATATCACCTAGACCTAAACACAATATAATACATTACTTCCTACAGCATTAGATACAGCCATATCACCCAGACCTAAACACAATATAATACATTACTTTCTACAGCATTAGATACAGCCATATCACCCAGACCTAAACACAATATAATACATTACTTTCTACAGCATTAGATACAGCATTAGATACAGCCATATCACCTAGACCTAAACACAATATAATACATTACTTCCTACAGCATTAGATACAGCATTAGATACAGCCATATCACCTAGACCTAAACACAATATAATACATTACTTCCTACAGCATTAGATACAGCCATATCACCTAGACCTATAAACAATTTAATACATTACTCAAAGCCATGCAGTTTGCAATGAGTGAAACTTTGCCAGGACAACAATATACTTGTCTTCAATTTACAAAAGTTGAGGTATCCTTATTGTCAATTTTAAATGAATAAATGCATATTTCATGTCACCCCGAAATCTCCCCCAAAACACAACAGAGACCATGACGAGCAGGCCCTTAACCAGTCAAATGTACCAAGGGGGCGGCTGCATTTGCACGGGGGGCAAAAGTTGATAGAGACTGATTTCAGGTTTAATTGAGAATTTGTTTGAATTTTGCAGGGAAGGCTAATACAGTTCCAGGGTGGGCATCGTCCCCGTGCATCCCCCTAGTTACGGGCCTGACGGTGACTGGCAAACATACCTTCTTTGACCACAATAACACTAGCTATGACGTCTGGTAAACTGACACCAAAAGCTATAAATGTCAATCCCATTATACTGTCTGGAATATCTACAGTATAACCTGAAAAATAATCAAATAAAATCCATCTATAACTGCACCACTATGTGATCTAAAGAAGTTTTTGTCATTTTTCGATGTGAAGCCTTTATTACAACATCTACGACAAATTAAACCTAAATTAATATCCAAGGTATCCTCTTTCCCTCTCGAAGATGAAAAAATGACCAAAAAGATTTGATTTGCATGTGTACCACAGTTAAATAAGCAACTCTATCTTTATATATTACTACAAATGATAACTTGACCACTTCAAAAATGAATCTCACAAATGGGTGCCAAAACTTCAGGCTAGTGGATGGGGAGAACTTTAAAATAAAAATCTGTACACACAAGATACTTCAGTCAATTGGAATTAAAAGTTGTAAAGTAGTGGACTTCTACTTAGTGCCTTTACAATGGCTGCTACTGCCCCTGAAATTTGTAACAGGCACTTTTGTCCAATCATATAAAGATAACTTCATGCAAAAAATTACCTTAAAGGGATTGTAAAGAGTTTTTTTAAATTTTGTATGACTATCGGGAACAGAATCAATTTACACCATTCCACCATTTATGTGTATCGGGCACAGTCGGGCAAAAATTTCCAGCATTTCAATTTTCAATCAGACGTCTGTGGTTCCTGCAATCCCACTAAAACTAAGTGTTTGATGACGGGACTAATCGCGAAAGTTGCTTTATCACATGAGACCCTTCATGATTAGTCATGTCATCAAACACTTAGTTTTAGTAGAATTGCTGGAACCACATACATCTGATTGAAAATTTCAATAGTGCAAATTGATACTATCAGTGTCCCCGATACACATAAAAAATTAAGAAAACCTCTTTACAATCCCTTTAAAATAATTATCACAGATATGTAAATGATAATGGATGTCTGAACTATACGAACCTACAACTGTTATCATCCAGACCATTAAAAAAGAAAATGCTGATAACCATGCTAGAGATACAATAAATGTAACCACAAACCAATTTTTCCATCTTTCTTTACGACAATCTGGTGTTGTTAAACATAAAATAGTGCATAGTGGAAGGGAGATAATCCAAAATAAAATCTTGAATTTTCCAGATGGGATTTGGCACAATGGTTCAGGTTCTTCAGATTTTGGCGCTGCAAATGAAAGAAAAATACAAGTAACTAAGACGATCTTTAAGTGATCCTTAAGATACGAAATATTCAAAATGTATTCATTATCTTTTCAATTTGAAATAATTCTAATTCTATTACATTTTAAGCTTAAAATTGCAAAATAGAAAACGGAAAGAGACACATTCAGTAGCCTTCATGGACTTAAGCATGCTATGGTAGCCTCAAAGGTGAATTCATGCAAATTTTTTCCATTTTGTTGTAAGATATATTAATAACATAGTTTCCCAATCCAATTCTTTAAAATAACTAAACTACATTATTGTTATTGCTTGATATTCAGTCTGTTATGTTTTTTACTTATCCGGTACAGGTGGATAATCTCCCTTTGTGTCAAGGGAGGTAATTATTGTATCATATTTGAAATTTTTGTGCACATTGATACCTTAGAAAAAAATTTTATTTTCAAGAACTTTAAGCCTTAGGGACATAATGATAATAATGACCACAAAAAAACAAAAATTGGAATAAATAAAACAAAATCATTACATAGGAAAATGGATTCCCAAAATTTAAAAATTGGCAAGTTCTTTTTTAAATTCTTACTATTATTTCTAAAGAAATTTCCTCAAAAAACAGACAAAAGACAGAAAATTTAGATAAATTTTGGGAATCCATATTGAAATAATATGATCTATTAAGGAATAAAATATGCTATAATGTACCCTCAGCCTTTCTCTGGTAATAATCATGCTCTATATCACTACAAGATTCCTCAGACTCACAATCAGACGTTAATGGTAACATTTCACCAATATGACCTGCTACGAGAAGAAAATTTATCATGAAATCATGAAACTAAAATCTCCCAACACTGTAGACATGGTAAGTTTGAAATAAGACATGGTTAGTTTGAAATGAGGTTGAAATAAGACATGGCAAATTTTAAATGAGACATGGTAAGTTTGAAATGAGACATGGTAAGTTTGATATGAGACATGGTTAGTTTGAAATAAGACATGGTAAGTTTAATATGAGACATGGTTAGTTTGAAATAAGACTTTAGATATGGTAAGTTGGAAATAAGACATGGTAAGTTTGATATGAGACATGTTAAGTTTGATATGAGACATGTTAAATTTGAAATGAGACATGGTAAGTTTGAAATGAGAAATGGTAAGTTTGAAATGAGACATGGTTAGTTTGAAATAAGACATGGTAAGTTTGAAATGAGATGTGATAAGTTTCAAATGAGACAGGTAAGTTTGAAATAAGACATGGTAAGTTTGAAATAAGACATGGTAAGTTTGAAATGAGATAGGTAAGTCTCAAATGAGACATGGTAAGTTTGAAATGGGACGTGGTAAGTTTCAAATGAGACAGGTAAGTTTGAAATAAGACTTTAGATATGTTAAGTTGAAGGGGTTGAATAAAATAGTAATTGGAACTGTATGTGTAAGACTTATAGTTTGTTCATTAATTCTTAAAGGGAAAGAGATTTTCTAAAATTTTAATGTCTATCGGGGACGCTGATAGCATCAATTTGTTCTATTTGTGGTTGCTGCAATTCCACTTAAACTAAGTGTTTTGTGATGTTAATAATTGCAAAGGGCCTTATGTGATAAAAAATTTAGAAACCCTCTTCACAATCCCTTAAGCTATTTAAGCAAAGATATACATGAACATCCAGGTATATTTCAAAACATAAACACAGTCGACTTTATTTTGAGGTAAGGTAAGTGGTTATTAACACAATGTAAGTATGGTTTATATAGTGCTTATTACTACTAATTCTACTTCTTATTCTACCTCAACTCAAAAATAGACAGTTCTTGTATATGTTGTGAATTTGAACTGAATTTTCAATTCTGTTTAAAGCTTAAGTTCACAAGGTTGTCTTTATGTTTTGAACTGTAACAGAATGTGCAAAAATATTGCTTGATGCTAAAATGTGTATTATCCCAAGTAAAAATAGGGTCTACGGTAGGGTATAACTATCCAAATCAAATGGGATAATGTTTCTAAAACCACGTAAGTATAATCAAATGGTACTTACCTTCAGTATGATGTGTACTTCCATTACTATTAGTATGTACTTTATCATACAATATTATAGACTCTGGTCCTAATTGATGATTTTTATTGGGAAAACAGGAACACTTAGGAACACACCAAACTTCCAGACGGCTATTATAATACATGAATATTGTATATAGAACATATAATAGACACAGACATCCAGCCTCATACCTACAAAAAAGATATCAAATATGAAAGATCATCCCACAACAAATTTAATCTTAGTTTTATCTTATTCTTAGTATAGAATGCACTAAAAACCATGAGAGACAATGCAATTACAGTTTCAATTTCTTTCCTACTGAAAACGAGTCATCTTTTTTTTTTTGCTGAAAATGAGTCATCCTTTTTTTTTTGCTGAAAATGAGTCATCCTTTTTTTTTTGCTGAAAACGAGTCATCCTTTTTTTTGCTGAAAACAAGTGATCCTTTTTTTCTGCTGAAAACGAGTCATACTTTTTTCAGCTGAAAGTGAGTCATACTTTTGTGCAACTGTCTAAGACAGACAAAACCATGCAGTGTGCAATGGGTAACATTTTGTCAGGTCAGTGATATGAGCCTACTCCTTTTCGATTTCGACCTGTTGAGAGATCTTTAATGTGCACAGCCTGTAGCATATAGAGCCTCGATTTAATATCCTATAGGAATGATTTTTCATAACAACCCCTCTGAGGTACATGAAGTCTAATCTTGACCTATGCCAGATCAAAAATTTGACCTCAGCATACCAGCAAGCAATTTGATTTGATATTTGGGCAGATAAAGATTGAACCAAATCATACCATCTGACTTCTTCATCATAAATAACAACAATAAGAGCAATAATACTGACAGTATAGGCAACACAATCACGTACCATAGGCCACCATGATAAATAAACCGCCTGGAAAAAAAAAACGTTGCAGAACTGAACACCATGACACAAAAACTGATGGCAAAATTTGGAGACTTTTGGGAAGTAAAAACGACCAACATTCTGAATACTTTGTTGAATAAACTTTTGGATAAATTCATAGGTGCCCTGGTGGACAATGGACAATGGCTTTAAAAACTATTACCAAAAACAAAATCCATGAGCAGTCTGTCTATAGCAGAAGTGAAACTTCCAGCCAGTAATCCTTCAACTAATTTTGATTGATTTGATAAAAAAACCATTGCCCCAAAATAAACCAGTATCAAATATTAGAATCAAAAATCTCTCCCAAGTTCCTTAAATGGTACTTACTGTTCCAGCAAAAAATGCACATACACTTATTACAAACATAACATTATAAATAGCTGAGCCAACAACTGTTCCCAAACCAACATCATCCTGAAATAAACATAGCATTATAAATAGCTGAGCCAACAACAGTTCCCAAACCAACATCATCCTGAAACAAACATAACATTATAAATAGCTGAGCCAACAACTGTACCCAAACCAACATCATCCTGAAACAAAGATAGCGTTATAAATAGCTGAGGGAACAACTGTACCCAAACCAACATCATCCTGAAACAAACATAGCGTTATAAATAGCTGAGCCAACAGCTGTTCCCAAACCAACATCATCCTGAAACAAAGATAGCATTTTAAAAAGGAGATCTAATGACTAAATAGCAGTTCATACAACTTTACCCAAACCAACATCATCCTGCAACAGACATTGCATTATAAATAGCTGTGCCAACAACTGTTCCCAAACCAACATCATCCTGAAACAAAGATAGCATTATAAAAAGGAGATCTAATGACTAAATAGCAGTTCAAACAACTTTACCCAAACCAATATCATCCTGAAACAAACATTGCGTTATAAATAGCTGAGCCAACAACTGTTCCCAAACCAACATCATCCAGAAACAAAGATAGCATTTTAAAAAGGAGATCTAATGACTAAAATAGCTGAGCCAAAAACTGTTCCCAAACCAACATCATCCTGAAACAAACATAGCATCATAAATAGCTGAGCCTACAACTATACCCAAACCAACATCATCCTTATACAAAGATAACATTATAAATAGCTGAGCCAACAACTGTTCCCAAACCAACATTATCCTGAAACAAACATAACATATGATGTGCTCACAAAAATAAATGTGTGAACACGTAAAACAACAAATAAAACTGATATACAATACCTTAGCAACAAATACGCCAATAACAGCTGTGGCTAATTCAGGTGCAGAACTCCCAGCTGCCATAAAAGTAGCTCCTGCTACATCAGATTCCAAGTGGAGATCTAGGATAGACAATCAATAACAATCATAATGTATGTTTTTCAAAATATAGATACAGCAATTATAGTTTATGATTCTTTCTGTAAGTTGCTAAATTACTACAGTTTATGATTTGAAGAACTACTACTACTATATTGGTGTAAAATGCAATGTATATGAGGTTCTGTAGCGCAGTCGGCACAGTGTTGGTTCTTAACATGACATCAGTTGCTTGGTTACGTGGAGGATACGGCACCTGTGGGTTCCGATCATGATCAGCACATGACAGTTGGATGACCTTGAATAAGTCATCTTCACTCATTATTCCAGTCGACTCAGCTGTAAATGGTGATGGAAAATCCGGGAAAGATCAATGCCAAGAGTTTTGGACAAAGACCAGCTGGTAGAAAGGATTGTCAACTGTGAACCTCAGTTGTTATCCTTGTAACAGTTAATAGTTTCTTTCTTAATACAAGTCAATGGTCAAAAATGCTTTTAATTCAATCCGCTCTATCAGCTTCTAAAGCAAATATTTAGACATCACCTTTGAAGGTGTAGCTGAAGATTATTTTTCAGGCTATTTCAATTCAATAAATTTAAAGGTACCTTATAAAAGAACAAACAAATACTCACATTCACAAATTATTTCTAAAGAAGGCACAAAATAGTAATCACATACAATAGCTAAGGCCAAAAACATGTAAATAACAATGACTATATGGATTGCAATAGCACCATGTTTTCTTTGTTCCTGAGTAAAGAAATCTCTTGGAAACTGTTCGACAGCTCTTGGTGTACAATTAGCCAGTTCCAGTAGATGGCGAGATGAAACTGAAAAAGACAAAGCAATGCCTGTAAACAATCACAAACACATCAAAATTACATGGAAAAGGACTTGGCTTGGCTTTTATGGACTTCTAAAATCTCAGCAAAGGCAGTTGCACAATCGCACAATCGTACAAAAATCGCACATCTGACAAAATTAATAGACCTCAAACAAGAAATTACACTTTTTATGTATTTCGTTCACAAGTTTATTTTTTCTCTAAAAATTGGGGTATCAGAAAGTTTAATGTTTTTTTGATAAAGTCTCTGACTCCCAGACATCTTTCGTCACAGCCGTGCTTAGAAAAAGTGGGGCAGGATGATTGAGTCTATTGTATACACTTGACATTACTAACCAATCTTCAAAATGGAAAGCTGAATAATCCCCATTTCTGAGACCAAGGTACAATTGACCCCAGAAAATGACGAATCTGTTCTTTCAAAGTTTGGAAGTCGTTCTGAAAGTGGGACATTATGGCGTCATTTTCTACCTAATGCTACAGCTTTGTCAGTTTTTGAATCATTTTTTATGTGGATCTAATTAACTTTATTTCCCTAGATATTTCTACTGAACATAGATCATGCCTACAGGTTAAACTATCACTGACATGTGGACTAATTGGCACAATTGATTATAGTATGTTTTATTACGTTTCTAGGAGAAAAATGGAAGATAAAAGGTTGACTGTTCAAGATGGGTTTCTTTATTTTTCTAGTATCAAATTAGGAAAACTTTTTCATAAATTGGTGTTGCCAATGAATTATCATGATATGAATTATGTTTTTATTGCATATAATTAAGAGTTTTAACCAATCATAAATGTCCATGTATGTACAGTCTGGATAAACAATAAAAGACTTTTTGATCTTTCTTGATCGGTCACTAATCGGAATTCTGCTGGTAATTCTCTTCTAATTTAGCTAATGGTGCACTGTCCCTTTAACAGTCTATCATTTCCTAACAGTAGCTATATATCAAGTCAAATGAAACAATTAAATTAGATGAATAAAATAGAACACCTGGTCTAGAGTCTATCAATGTTGCATAAAATATTAAATAATAATAATCAAATATTATTAAATTAACTTCCCACTAATATAACAGATGTCTAGTGTATCAAACATACAGCTACTGTTCGAAAAAAGAGCAGGCTAATGTTGCTGTTGTGACAAAATTTCCCTTGTTGCACACTACATGGCTTTGTCTGTCTTCATTCGCCCACATGGTGCAGAAAAATAGGATGTAATTAATTTCTTTCATTTGTTAACATGTTCATAAAATCTGCATTGATAGCAAATCTGTGTGCAATTATATTAACTTTAAATATATGATGTCAAGGTTCTAACACTTTAAACAACTGTGCTCCAACCTGTCCTCAAAAAGAGGATGTTTTATATGAAATGTAGGTTGAGGCAAAAGATCTTTTCATCAATAATACACCACAATATGTATTGACATTAGTGTATAATGTTATTGACTAACAGGATTATTCAGATCACATATACAATGCTGATCTTATATTGACATAGGTATAGCAATTCATATATTAACATAGGTAGAGCAATTCATATATTAACATAGGTATAGCAATTCATATATTAACATAGGTATAGCAATTCATATATTAACATAGGTATAGCAATTCATATATTAACATAGGTATAGCAATTTATATATTAACATAGGTATAGCAATTCATATATTAACATAGGTATAGCAATTCATATATTAACATAGGTATAGAAATTCATATATTAACATAGGTATAGCAATTCATATATTAACCCTAGCAGTAACGCAATTCATATATCAACCCTAGCAGTAACGCAATATATACCCGAGCAGACGGTATACTGGCTGTTACTAAGTGACGTCATACGATGTTAACGTTATACACTTTAACTTTTATTACATGGAGATCAGGGTATATGATGTTTTATTTCATTTACACTCAGGGGAAGTGAAGTTATTAACTGTGTTTAAACTGACAGTAAAAGCCAGATTTAAGCTAGCTAAACTGAAGTCAACTGTCATTTTGAAAAATGATACAGCTGGAAAGACAACTATTTTGATAATATTAATGATATTCCTTTTAACTAAGTCACAAAAACAACAACATACATTATATATAGCTATCTTATGAAATAGATGATTTAATTTGTATTTTTAGCAAACTTGAAATAGATTCAGATAACAGACAATAAATTATTCCACTGAGTTACAAACAGACTCATTATAACATGTCTTTACATTAATCTATCTATACTTAGTTTCCATGACAGTCAGTAGAGCCACTTCAGTTAGGGTCTAAGGACAGCCCTCATGAGCGTGGGTCAAATTAATCTTTTGACCTATCAAGGTCTGCATTTTGTGACACTGTGTTTATCAGGTTAGGTCAAAAGATTAAATTGATGAACGTTCAAGAGGGCTGTTGTTAGACCCTAACTGAAGTGGCTATATGATAAATACCAAGAAACTTGACTGTTGTAATTTGTAACAATTTTTTGTGCGTAGGTGGTTGACTGACTTTAGCATATGTTACGGGATTAACCAAGCACACAAAAATCTATGCTTTCAACAGTGTATTGTGAATTCGGTCTTAAAGAGCTTAAAGCTAGAGAAAAGCCATTGTTTTATGAAGTGTACGAATCTCAACCTCAAGAGAGAAAGAACCATGTTCTTCAAAGGATCTCTTACCAGATGGTCCTTGACCAAACCTCTTGGTATTGAACTTCCTTGACTTTTTGTACCCATTTAGACCAGGTGGACTTGAATTTGAAAAGTATGACTTATTCAAAGTTGCAAGACTAAACTTAGAACCCATGACCATCATTGGTTCAACATCACCAAGCATACGACATTGTGGTTCTAACACTAATACGGAATATAAAAACAACAATTTAGGAATTGACTTAAGTGAAATGGAACTGTGACAGGAAATAAAGAGGCCTGACAACTCATACTAGCAGTGGATTTAATAGGTATTTGAGTGTATAGAATCATATCAATATAATTAATATCCAGTAAACTGACACGGGATTATTATAAGCTCTAGGGATATTTGTCACAGATAATAATAGTAAAGATATTGATAATACTGTTGCTGAAATTACTCTGTCATTTCCTATTCTTATTATTGCTTATGATTTGTTCAAATGTTGTCCAAGCTGTAGAATACGAAACTTGCTGACTTATTTTGGTACCCACTTTGTCATTTAATGCTAGCTGAGGTGAAATCATAAATTCTGAAACTTCAAATATCTAGTTTATCTCATATAAGTAATGCCTGTAACAGTATGTAGGAGAAATGGAAAATAATTTAAAAACTTGCTTTTGCTGACAGATAGGATATCAAAGATAGAAAGACATGCCTGTATCAAATAACTAGGTTATGAGTTCAGTTGTTGTCTGTTGGGTGCTGTGGGTTCAAATCTTTTACATGGTAGGGAAAAGTGTCATGCTCTAACCTGTGCTTCTTCAAGTCAGCTTTAACCCCAGCAACCTAAACCAAACTTTGTGCATTGACATTGATTTGCCAGAAGATTGAAAAATAGAATTCCCTCAAGCCTACTGGATTGTGACACTGAATACAGCAAAACCAATAAGACTAAATATTCCCCATGAGGCAGGCATAACATCCCTTGTTTTCAGACTCAATACCACAAGTCATCGAAAAAGCAAAATACTTCATTGCCATTATGTCACATTGGTATATAATTCTAAACAAAGATGTCTACCCTGTTTTGAAAAATTTGATTTCAATATTAACACTTGACATTAACTGTGTTTCCACTGAGAATTGTAAAATTAAACTGGTTAAGATAACAAAGCCAGCTTTATTGCCAAACGTGTTGTGTTTACATTAAACTGGTTTCCGAATTACTTTAGCCTCAATCACAATGTCGCACAAAGACAACTTGTTATGTACAAGACCATCGTTTAGACCAGTAAGAAAAGAAAAAAATGGAAAAACAATTTGCCTATTGCTGAAAGCTGGTAGGCCATTTTTTTGACCCAACATACTAGTCTCAGAAACTGGAATTTTTGAGCTGAGCTTATCAGTAATTGTGTTCAAAACTCACCGTCGAAATTTGAGCCTTCAAATCCATGAGTGTCCAGATTTATATGCGTTTGAATGTTAAAATGACGACTCGTCAATTTATGAAACTCTGTGATATATAACAAAGACATATATAGAAATAGTGAGTAAAATTCATAGTTTAAAGTATTTTTAAAGGAATTATGTGATTTTCATACATTTCTAGTACTTTTGAAGACTATTTACAAATATTCAACCCCCAAAAATGGCACATCTGTCTGGCTTAAAGCTGCCTTTTTCCTTCATTAGAAAAACAGAATAGTAGGGTACAATGACCTTTATAATTTCTTCCTTCCCTGAAGCTAAATAATGTATAAAAATAATCTATGTTAAAAATCTAAAGTGAATGAAAATCATATCAGACAAAGCTTGGCTTAAATTACAAATTCATAAATAATATTTGATATCCATTAAAAACCAACAGATAAATGTCAAGTGATACAATATAATTGGTTATGACAAGTAGGGATATATCAACATTATGGTTTAATAATGGCTTACATAATTTGGATAATGATAGTCTAGTTTCCGAATCAATAGATACCATCTAATCCATTAGTATTCTACATCCAAATATAGTTTTTGTTTTCAAATTGTCACTTCCTACACAATCTTGTGTAATATAACCTCCGAGCATAGTGAATTATCATCTAAAAACTAAGTTCATTTCTGGTAAGAATGCTGATCAAATTTAATTAGCTAAACACTAAGGATTTCAGCAGAGAGCTATTCATCAGCATGTTTTAGAGTTGCACGTAGGAAACAGAAAAGTTCTCAAAATGGACACGATAAATTGGTGTAGAGTAGACAGTAATCATTCAGAGAACACTTATCTGAGAATGCCTCACAGGTGACCTTCACCTTTTTCTGCGGAATTTTGTCATTAAACAGTGTAATTGTTGATTACATCCAAATGATTTTGATTACATCAGGGTGACCACAAGGATTAATTTTAACTTCTTCAAGAAGAGTTCCATAGATAACCGTGCTGAGAATTCTTTTTCATTTTACACTACAACTGAAGAAATGTTGTCAGTAATGTACTGTAATGTAAATTGGCACCTTTTATGGCATATAACAAAAACACAAGACAATATTATGGAATATAACACACTTTTTTAATATTGTCTTGTGTTTTTGTTATATGTGCTCCTCGCTTCTATATGTCGTTCAAATCTTATACCTTTTATGGCAGCCTGGACTTGACCGAGAACGGAATGCTTTGAAAGTGGCGTGGTGTAAAAAGGCCTTGACAAAAGGAAGAAAGAAGAGTTACACTGAACTGCAACT